TGCCGAAGACTCAGGTTGGCAGTGACTCGATATGGGTCATTGTGGACAGACTGACGAAGTCTTTCCACTTTCTTCCACTGAAGGTGAGCTTCACTACCGAGCAGTTGGCCAAACTGTATGTTCGCGAGATTGTGAGGCTTCACGGGGTGCCCGAGAGTATCATCAGTGATAGGGACCCGAATTTCACATCTCGGTTCTGGGAGGCGCTGCAGGGAGCTTTTGGGACTCAGTTGAGACTGAGTACAGCCTATCACCCTCAGACTGATGGACAGACTGAGCGGACTATCCAGACCTTGGAGGACATGTTGCGGGCTTTCACGATGGAGCAGGGCTCGGCATGGGATAGGTACCTTCCATTGATTGAGTTTTCGTATAACAATAGTTTCCATGCTAGCCTGGGCATAGCACCCTACGAGGCGCTCTACGGTAGGAGGTGTCGTACACCTACCTACTGGTCTGAGGTTGGGGATCGTGAGTTGTTTGGTTTGGACTTTGTCCAAGATACCACCCTGCAGATCCAGTTGATCAGGGAAAAGCTGAAGCAGGCGCAGAATCGCCAGAAGAGTTACTACGAAGTCAAGCATCGTCCACTGGAGTTCAGTGAGGGTGAGCACGTGTTTGTGAGACTTTCACCTGTCACAGGTGTTGGACGGGCACTCGGAGTGAGGAAGCTGAGCTCGCGGTTTATTGGGCTATACCAGATTCTTGGTAGAGTAGGACCTGTTGCCTACCGGCTTGCCTTGCCTCCGAACTTGGCCAACATCCACGACGTGTTTCACGTGTCTCAGCTACGAAAGTATGTAGCGGATCCTTCGCACGTGGTGCAACCGGATGATGTGGAGGTTCGGGAGAACTTGAAAACTCCCGTCGGACCACTCAAGATTCTTGATCGTGGCGAGAAGCAACTGAGGAGCAAGATCATCCTGATGGTCAAAGTGCAATGGTCAGGAAGGACTCCTAAGGAGTGTACCTGGGAGCGAGAGGACGAGCTTCTCCGGCAGTATCCCGACTTCTGAGACAGCTATATTCTGATTTTGAGGACAAAATCCTAAAAAGGTAGGGTGAATGTAAGAACCTGCACCGTTAATTAAGGAAGTTAATTAATTAATTATGCGAAATTAGAAAATAATTTCATAATTGACCCTAATAATTATTATGAAGCTCTAATAATTATAGTAAGTGATTAAGAATGCTGAAATTCGTTTTTCGGTAGAAAAGTGAAGATACCGGTTCTGCTAGTCGGTATAAATGTGTACCGAAAAAGTATCTCGGAAAATTATAATAAATACATGATAATTACTAGAATAATATGTAGGACTTGTAAAACGAGTTTCAAGTCAAAATAATAAGAACTGGTGCCAGAATCTGGTACTGGCTAGGAAAAGCGCGTACCGAAAAGGTGCTCCGAAAATTATAAGAAAAATATGATAATTCTTGTAAAATTGAGTAGGTTAAGAATCCAAAGTTTGGGATTAAAATTCTAAGCGTAGAAATTAAAGTTAATATTGTGTGTTAATTGGTTAAGTAACTATATAAGCCTTAGTTGGCACTCAACCCTAGGTGCCACTCATTTGCTACGTGACTTGGAGGCTGACCAGTTTCTCCTTGATCTATTCCTTCGCTTCTTCACCATTTTGTGAGCCTTGGGAGCCCTTTCCTTCCTTTTCTCTTCACTAAACACTTGGTGCTTGTGAGAAGGATCCTTGTGAGAGTGGGAGGGGGCTGTGTTCTTGTTGCTCAGCCACTGTTTGGGATGTTGAAGGGGGCTGACTTACTTGGTGGGTTGTGGGAGCCTTGGTCTTGGTATTCTGAGGTGCAAGAAGCCTTCTTTGTGAAGAAAGATCCTTGCTTGGGTGGTATTTTCGTGCACCCTTGAAGTCAGAACCTCGGAGCTGTTGTGTGAGCTCCAAGAGCACCCCTTTTTGCTGAGTTTAAGCTTTTGGTAAGTTGTACCAACCTTGGTCTTGAGTTTTGTTTCTTAAAGATGAAGTCTTGGCATGTTTAATGAATTAAACAAGTAACCAACTGTCATATGAACCTCAATGAACCTTAATATGCATGTTTAAGCTTCTGGAAGTGTTAAAGATGGAACCTTGGAAGGATATCTTCGCGAAATGCAAAAACTGCATTCTGTCGCGAAATATCCGGATATTTGCCGTGGAATATCTAGATATTGATATCCAGATATGAATATCCGGATATTGATATCCGGATGTGGGGATCTGGATATCCGGATATTGATATCTGGATATTGCCAGAGTGATATCCGGATATTGGATATCCGGATATTGCCTGTGAGATATCCGGATATGTCCCCGTGCAATATCCGGATATTCTGGGTTTGCGAGGAACAGTAGCGTACTGTTCATCCAGAACTGATCTATGGGTTTGTGGACCCTAGTTTGAGGAAGTTGAACTTCTGTAATTAATTAATGTAAGTCAGAATCATATGATTAAGGGCTTATGGCTTGTGTGAAGCCTTAAGACGTAAAACGTATTGGAAAGGCGTTGTCTTAATATTGTATGCTTGCGGTGCATGTTTATTGATATATTATTGGTTCATAACAAATTGTGAATCTGTTGTGTTTGGACTTTGAGTTGTGGACTCTTGGCTTTGGGTGTTAGCTTGCAAGGTAAGCTTTCGTGTCCTCGGTTTAGCCATGTTGTGGTTCCACCATGTCCCATGGGGTATGGTTATATGCATGTTGTGTTACATGCTTTGGATATTTTGAAATGTCTTTAAGCTGATATGTGCAAATGGCTTATAATATGTATGTGTTGTTTCCACTTAGTCGGTAAGCCTGAGTATGTGGCGTCATACAAGATGGTGAGTCCGTGGGTGGGTGCAAGTAGCGTCTTGCATATTGTGTGGGTAATAGACGTATTCCTGCATTTCTCTGACCAGTAGAATAGTATTGACACACATGACATGAGTATCTGCTGCATTGCACTATTTTAGAACTGATGATGATAAACTGCTTTTGAACTTATATTGCACATGTAAGTGAGCTTGGGGTGGAAGATCCTTGAGGACCTCTTGTCTTACTGAGATTTCTTGTTTAGAGATCTCACCCCACGTTTAGGGAATGCTTATTTCAGGTTCAGGTAGTATGGTGACTGATGCCTCTGGCGGCAGGAGGCCAGAGCTTAGCTGATTATGATATTTATGTTGTATTGCTGTCATGACTGGATTGGATGCTGTTTATGTTTTCTGTTCTTTATGTTTTGAGTTGAGACTTATGTTGGGCTTTGTTGCCTTATTTGGGTGAGCATGGGAGTTGTCCATGCCACCATGTTGTTAGTATTGTTAGTCTGAGTTGTATAAACTGCTAGTTGGTCCGGTCTACGTGTTGTAGTTCCGTGACTAGAGACATACTTTATGTTGTATTAATTAGGGAAAAGTTCACCAATACCCCTGTGGTTTACTTCATAATCATCTATGCCCCTGTGATTTTTTTGTATCACATATGTCTCTGTGCTTTGTAAAATATAAAAAACCACAGGGGCATATGTAATAAAAAGCATACCCTTTTGCAAACCATAGGGGCATATGTGACAAAAAAAACCACAAGGGCATAAGTGATTCTGGAGGAAACCACAGGGGCATTGGTGAACTTTTTCCTATTAATTAATGAGGTACTTCGGTTAGCTATTTTATTGCAATTGCATACCGGCAATGTTTTATTAATTGATTAATAAGCAAATTGGTAACGATAATGACTTTATAATTGAAAAGAAAAAGTTATTCCGCATTTTTAATTAAGCGCAGCTTAATACGATAGTATGATAACATTACCGGATATATACGGGGTGTTACAAGAAACAATACACTATATATACATATATATATATATATTATATATATATATATATATATATATATATATATATATTTCTCTTTTTTCTGTTATCAATGTAGATAAGTTATCTACATTAAGTCAAAAACAACGTCGTTTTCGGACCGAAATCAAGGAATTTTTGTAATTATAATTTATTTCAGAGTTATAATAGTCTTTCTCATTATAATTTTTCAACACAAAACGACGTCGTTTTGAGAGTGAATGTAGATAACTTATATAGTAGAAACATTAAATCCATATATATATATATATATATATATATATATATATATATATATATATATATATATATATGGTAAAATTATTTCCGCAGCCGCTTTATGTATATATAGGGGTTTACATTTCTGCAGCTGTTGTTCGTACAGCAGCCAAATACTTGTCATATATATATGCGAAAGCATTAAATGTGGAGAATCATAACCATACAAAAGATGGTACACATAAATTAGTGATTAAGATTAAGTATAAATTACTTATTCTTCTACCAATGTAAATTTATCCTATATATGAGATTAATATTTCTTATGTTGTAAGGGATAATTTTATATCCTATACACATAAAAATATATAGAGCCAATGTTTTATTTTTCTCTCTTTTCTTTTCATATAATCTCACATGGATCCTAAACACTTTTATATATATGTAAGATAATTTTATCTCATGTAACATGAGAGATATTAAACCCTATATATATATATATATATATATATATATATATATATATATATGATCCCATAACCGTTGAATGCACGAAAACCAACGATTAAGATTTGTATAGAACTTATTATTGATATATTAATACATAATTATCTGTGTTGGAACAGTAGCCAACACCAAAACGAGAAGCTGAATATCAAATTCTAAATAAAGACCCGAAGAGAAGAGGAGCGCGAGGCGGAAGGACTTTACTGTATAATCTAAACATGTTAATAATCTTTAAAAAGATGTTTATAAAATAAACAAGTTTATAATAAATATTTTATTTTATAAAATCTATTTAATATATTTTGACTGTTAGTTATTTTTAAAATTAAAATAAGTCAATTTAAATAAGTAACAAGTATTTCTAATTAAAAAAAATTATGCGAAATTGAAAATAACACATGCAAAATTACTTGTATCTAGAATTATATGCTGTCAAAAAAAATTCATGTATCCCGATAATTTAAATTCATTTGAGTTAATTGGCTACATAATAATAATAATAAAATTATCTATTATGAAACTTTCTAATATATTTGGAGTATATCTAAAACTATTTGGCAATTCAAAAGAATATTTTCTCTGAGGATGGAACAAGAAGATCAAATGACTACTTTTGTGAACTTCGCTACAAAGAGTCCACTAGTTTGTGATGTTAACGGGTCAAATCGCCATGTTTTTTGTATGCGACCACCTTTGCATGGCCAAGTTCTGGCAGCATCTATCTCCGTCAATTCTGCAGAGTGAAATAAGAGTTGCAAAATCATTAAGAGGAACAGACACCTCAAGGACACGTATGTCATGATAACTCAATTGCAAGACATGAAGCAAATACCATGTATATGTGATCCAAGGACTACTACTAAAAACTATGCCCGTTCAACTCATTATGCAAGTTAAATTATACGATATTAGCCTGTTACTATCCTACATGACAAACTTTTGCATGTTACTAGTGTCCCCAAAGAAAAAATATAAAGAAAAAAGAAAGAAAGAAAGACAGAAAGAGCAAGAGTGACCATGAAAGGTCAACTAGTTAAAGTTGGTAAGTTTTTTTTGAATATTTCGATTACTCGACTAATCCAATTTGAGTCGGGTAGAACCACATAGATGACAAAACTCTCCCTACCAAGTTTAAACATAGCTGCGTTCCCAAGGACTCAAACTTCTTTTGTTAAAGTTGGTAATTTTGTAATCTGAGACAATTTCCCATTAGACCACAACTTTTTTCCCACCACAAAGAAAGAGGGTTGGATAAATACGGTTAAAAGATTTGAGGATTGAAGCATTAGCCATCTAAGAATGCGGACCTTTACAAGGGAAGCACATAACATTTGATAAGAAACAAGCACAGTAAAACTGCTACTCATATTACTAAAATGAATAACAATAAATATAAAACATGGACCGACAGAAATAGTTGATGCTTCAGGCATAATTTTCACACAGGAAAAAAATTAAAGCATGAAACTCCTACCAGCAGTTACATTTTCCTTCAAGAACTCATCCACCACGTCTTCATTCTGGGCAACAGTTAAGCTAATCAACAAAAAAAGGTATTTGTCAGAATAAAATTACAAGATATAAATGATAGTGTGTTTGTGTGTGTGCACTTTGACTGCATTCTAAAAGAGCCATAAAATTAAAAATTAAAAGGTACCTGCAAGTGCTGTAGACGAGTGACCCTCCAACTTTTAGTAGTCTGAAACCGTTGGTGAGAAGATTCAGCTGTAGCGATATATAAAAGGTATAGGGTTAAGAAAAGGTGATATTTAAGATTACTGCCATGCATTAACTATGCTGAAAATGACCATAGGAACAGTCTCCAATATCTTGTTCAGAAATCTCAAAGTTCTATTTTTCTTTCTAAGTATAAATAAGGCCAAAACATTTAACTACTTAATCACTTAAGCACTCCAATCTTCAAACATGTTTTAGGCAATGCACTTCGTGCAAATTCCAAAGGGTGACTCAGTTCACCATTGATAGGTCATTACCCTTTATAAGGTTTTCTATCCAAAAGGAAAAAACATACAAAATTCATTGTTTGACACCAACACAATCAACAAGCGTGCCGTATCTCATCCATCACCAATCTGTGCTAATCCTTCTCGGATGGAGTTTTGTGTCAGATTATGTGTGTTGAGAGACAAGAAATGACGATAATAATTCCAGCTAAATGTTCTATGGTGGAGAATATGTATTTATGGACAAATAGAATAACGAGTCATTTGCCTGAAGAGCATGTAAGTTATCAGTCCTCTCGGCATCTAGTACACGACGCTGAAGAGTTCTCCAGCCCCAATGTTCAAACTTTTGAATATGTTTAACTGAACCATCATGAGTGCATTCTGCATCCACAAGGACCTGCTTGAAATCCCAACAAATAATCAATTTTGCAGGGTAGAAGAAAGCAAAGAACTATGCTAAATAAATTTAAAGGAAAGTATTAGTTACCTTGTCATAGCCATGACTAGCAATCTCATTGTCAGATACAGTCTTATATAATTCTCCTTTAGTAAGACCAACAACTCCAGAATGTTGTCCATAATATATGAGTTCAGGAGGCTGAGACCTAGACACCAATTGTGGAGTACCACTTTTTTTTGCCCTTTTCCTCTCTTTCCATGGTCTTCTAGACGACCACTCCTTGAACACATCCAATCTTTCTTCCGATTCAGACTGACCTGTTTGAAACTTGATAGAACGAAAAGATTTTAAAAACAGGTAATAATTATTAATAAATATGATATTAAATTGGCAGTATTGCATTCCAAAGTTGACCATGTCTATCATAACTTAAACTTCAATTACATGACTTACAGTCAGAACAAAATCCCCCAGGAATAACAGAAAATGTTGTTCCATCAGCAACAAAAAGCCGACATCGATCACCCAGTGTATATTTCTGCAGCATTGTTCTACATGCTGCCAAACGATGCCTTGCAACATCTACTCCAGTTACAGAGCCCGAATCATCAAGAAGGTCAAGTATCATACAAAGTTTAGCACCTGAAATTTAAATTTGAATGAAGACCATTATAATCATGACTCTAGCAAATTGGAAAATTACGAAGTTTCTCTTTCAACTAAAAACAACACACACACAAACATACATATATATATATATATATAGAATCATCACTGGAACTTGGAACTTAACAATTTTATACATGTTCTCCCTGAAATAAATCAATCTTAGTCTATATATATATATATATTGACATTAGTTATAGGAGGACAAAGTATATAAGAATAATTGAGTAAAGAAATATCTACCAGGAGCAGCACATAGGTCCAGGACATGATCCCCTGGTGATATATTTAAAGCCATAACAGCAGCTCCGGAAGATGCATCAATTCCATATATCTGATACAACACGAACAATCATAAAGAATGACATCAAAAAAATTCCAAAACTAGCTAAGCTTGAAATTAGCTACACAACAAGTTAACTAACAACAAGGGAAATACAAAAGGTATTTCCATTCCAATACAAATAAAACGATATTCATCCTCAGAAAAATTATTAGATCAATTTGGTCCTCAAATCATATTATTTGAAATCAAAGTATCCCAAAATTTATTAAAACCAAATTGATGTCATGCAATGACCAAAAAAAAAAAATCATTGCTTCGGTAATTATTCGTAGTACCAAATTAATATTTCCAAAATTTATGGATGACTAAATTGGGGTGTCGTTGTTCACTCTCACCTTCCCTTCTTGGTATGCCCTAGAGCCAGCAATTTGAATATTTGGTGGAAGAGAGTAAAACCCTGGCAGCCATTCCAGTTTTTCGAGTTTGCATTTCATCTCAGCTTCAACCTCTTCAATACAAGTTTCGCAACCAGGTTTCAACCTTTACAAATTCAAAACCAAGAAGTTAGGAGGTGAAAGAAGATGAAACCTAGAGATAAAAAAATAAAAAAAATAAAAAAAATAAAAAAAATTCGAAATACCGAATGAATCGTGGGATGGAATCAATTGCAGTATAAATCGATGGGTCGAGCCCATTGGACTCCAGAAAGTGGACGAAAGCGTCTGGTAGTGGCAGCTTTGAAACGTATTCCATGAAAGCTCAATTAGGTTCTGCAGTGAGAAGAAGAAGAGCAACGCTTTTTCGTTTTGTCGTCGAGGGAGGGATCAGAGAGTAAACGACACCAACACTGATTTGTATCAGTAATGTGACGATTCATGGAAATGTTATATTACAAATAGTAAACGACTATGGCGAAGCAACATTTTTATCGTTTTAAAGATGAAATGTTGCTGTACTGTAATTGCTTGAGTTTAAATATATCGTCTCAAGTCAAATTTATGTTAATAGTGAAAATATTTGATACTCAACATAATAGTCAAAGATATCTGAAGAACCTATAAAGATTTGATATTTGATTAATTAGATAAATAAGAAATATAAATACATAATTAATTATATTTTATAAAGATATCTAAGAAGATTTTGTTAGGAAATAGGATTCCATCGGACAGAACAATAACAACAAATAAAGGAAATTGAAAGTAATAAATGGACACAGATATTTTACATGAGAAAACCCTCAAAGTAACTGAGGTAAAAAATCCACCGGCAAGAGTAGAAAAATTTCACTATGGAAACTCCAAAATTACAACCTCCCTTTTATCACAAGGAGAGAACAATTTTTATCTCTCTCTTGAACTAGGAATACTCCTCACAAAATACAGTCAATATAATATTATAACAAATAATATTATATTAATAAGAAGAAGAAAAAGAAAAGGTGTAAAGTATAAGGAAGTGGTGGGCATTATTATATAGCCTTCACCTCCTTTAACAATGCAAGAACCCACTGATGTGGGTCTTGCTTCTAACAATCTCCCACTTGGAGATATGAGTGAGAATCAATCAATCTCCACACACTTCTTTCAATCTTGTCATGTCCATGTTATCTACGTCTCTGCCAGGCAATATGAAGATCTGCACCATATGTACTTGTCAATGTTGATTGGTTTTGTCAGCGCATCTGCTATGTTCTCCTTTGTGTGAATTTTCTGTACATCCACGCTTCCATCTTCTACCACTTCACGAACAAAATGATATTGAACTCCTATGTGCTTTGTCCTGAAATGAAAGGCTGGATTCCTTGCAATGTGCAAGGCGCTCTGACTATCACAATACAAAATAGTGTTATTTTGTTTGTGCCCAAGCTCCTCCATGAATTTTCTTATCCAGATTGCTTCTTTGCAAGCTTGAGTTATTGCCATATACTCAGCTTCTGTCGTAGAAAGTGCCACGACGGATTGTAGTTTGGAAACCCAACTAACAGCTCCTCCTGCAACTGTAAACACATAGCCCGTGGTAGATTTTCTTTTCTCTAAATCTCCTGCAAAATCAGAATCAACATACCCTCTGACAATATATTCAGATCCTCCATAACATAGACTAACATCTGAGGTTCCTTTGATATATCTCAGGATCCTCTTAACAACATTCCAGTGCTCCTGCCCATAATTTGCCATGAATCGACTAACCACTCCCACTGCATGCGCAATTTCTGGTCTTGTACAGATCATAGCAAACATTAAACCCCCTACTGCTGATGCATACGGTACTCGAGACATCTCATTCCTCTCTGCTTCACTGCTAGGACTCATACTTGAGGATAATTTGAAATTAATAGGAAGAGGGGTAGAAATTGGCTTACAATCTTGCATGTTGAAGCACCGCAAGATCTTCTTCAAATAATTCTTCTGTGATAGCCAAATCTTCATATTATTTATGTCTCGGTGAATTTGCATCCCTAGAATCTTGTTTGTTGGTCCCAAGTCCTTCATTCCAAACTCCCTAACCAACTGAGCCTTAATTCTTGAATTAGATCTTTGTTGGGGCCTGTTACCAACATATCATCAACATATAACAACAAGATAATGAAATCATTCCCAAACCTCTTGAAATAAGCACAAGGGTCTGAACTGAGTCTGTTATATTCAAGGCTCAATATAAAGGAATCAAATCTCTTATACCAAAACCTCAGCGCCTGTTTGAGACCGTACAAAGATTTGTTCAACCTGCAAACCAAGTTCTCTTTATCTGGTTCTTCAAAACCTTCTAGTTGGAGCATATAAATTTCTTTTTCAAGATCTCCATGAAGAAATACAGTCTTTACATCTAACTGCTCTAAATATAACTTGAATATCGCACAATAGCTAGTACAATACGAATTGTAGTGAGACGAACCATAGGTGAAAGTATTTCAGTAAAGTCAATACCTTCTTTCTGAGAGTAACCTTTCACCACCAATCTTGCACGATACCGCTGCACCTGATCATCATTGTTTCATTTGATCTTGTATACCCATTTGTTTCGAATGGGTTTTCTTCCTTACGGTAATGGCACAAGTTCCCAAGTCCTATTCTTATGAAGGGCTTCAATTTCTTCATGCATTGTTGTCATCCACAATGATGCATCTGAGCTAGTTAATGCTTCTCGGAACGTTGATGGCTCTCCATCTTCTAATAGAAGACAGTATGCAACATTGCCCTCCATAATATAGTCAGACTGCCAGGTTGGTGTTTTCTTCTCACGAGCTGACCGTCGAACTTCTGCAGTTTCAGACTCAACTGGTTCTTGCTCCTCGTGTTCTATGGTTACTTTAGAAGAATCTGGTTGTCTAGATTCGTCTTCCACCTGAATCGTCAATTTTTCCAGATTGTTAGCTAAAGTGCTACTTACATTTTTCTCCTGCAGCTTATCTTCTGCAAATAGTACATCTCTGCTGATGACGACACTGCTGGCAGTAGGATCCCACAGCTGATACCCTTTAACTCATTAGCATACCCTAAGAATCTGCACTTCCTGGATTTTGGATCCAGCTTTGTGACTTCTTGGGTGTTGTACATCACGAACACAGGACTCCCAAATGTGTGTAGGTGTGAATAATCAACTGGCTTACTAGTCCACATCTCCATCAGTGTTTTCAGATCGATCGTCGTTGATGGTGAGCGATTAATCACATACCAGGCAGTGTTGACTGCTTCGGCCCAAAATGACTTCGCCATACTAGCAGTCCTCAACATAGCTCTAGTTCTTTCGAGTAGAGTTCTATTCATTCGCTCTTCCACTCCATTCTGTTGCGGAGTGTATGCCACCGTGAGTTTCCTTCTGATGCCTTCCTGATTACAAAAGACATTAAATTCATCACCTGTAAATTCTCCACCATTGTATGTCCTGAGACACTTGATCTTCTTCTCTGTCTCCACTTCTATCTACGCTTTGAATGTCTTGAAGGCTGAAAATACATATGCCTTCCTCTTGATTGGGTACACCCAACATCTCCTAGAATAATCATTAATAAAAGATACAAAGTACTTTGCTCCTCCCAAGGACATAACTGGTGCTTGCCATACATCAGAGTGAATCAATTCCAGAATATTTTTACTTCTAGAATTAGATGCAGTGAACTTCAATCTATGTTGCTTACTTGTAACACAATGCTCACAGAATGGTAAAGTTACCTTTGTAAGACCAGGGAGTAGTTTCTGTTCAGCCAGAATTTTCAACCCTTGTTCTAACATGTGGCCCAATTTGCGATGCCACATCTTTGTTATATCATCCTCAGAATTGGTTGATGCAACAGATGTTTCTGCCTCCAGACGCGTCTCTCCCATAAGCCTGTACAAGTTTGCTGCAACCTTCCCAGCTTTCATTACTACAAGCGCATCTTTGATGATCTTCATCACCCCGTTTTGAATATGGATTTTACAATCATTTTCATCAAATTGCCCTAAAGACAATAAGTTTTTCTTCAAGCCCTTCACATGCCGCACATTTTGGATTGTGCAAATCACCCATCATACATCTTCACCTTGATGGTGCCAACTCCAGCAATCTGCAAGGTATGATCATTTCTCATGTACACAAACCCTCCAGAGATAGGTTTATATGAATGAAACCAATCTCTCTGAGAAGTCATATGCCATGTTGCTCCTGAATCCATTATTCATGCATCAGCGAGCTCCAATCTATCCTTAGATACCGTTGCTGCTTCACTGTATAGAACATTTGCATTGGCAACACATCCTTGATAAGTTCATGCTTCTGAAGTCTTGTCTCCACCACTCCTTAGTCGAATCTCATTTTTATAGTGTCCTTTCTTGCCACAGTTGTAACACTTGACAAATTTCTTACTTCTAGAATTTGACCTTCCTTTTCCATGACTCCCACTGGAACCACGTTCCATTGACCGTCCTCCCGTCATCGTCAAGGCCTCCGCTTGATGCGAACTTGCCAGCCTTTCTTCTTTGCTTATCCGCTGTCTTTCTTCTTCAAGAACTGCGGCGGCAACACTGTCAAACACCAGGGATTCAGTGTTATTAGTGATGTTGATGATGAGTTGGTCATATGAATCTGGTAGACTCTGGAGTAGAATCTCAGCATGCTCAGCTACCTCAATATTATGTCCTAATGATGTTAGTTGAGAACATAGAGAGGTCAGAGTATTGATGTGCTCTGTTACTGAAGTGGATTCAGACATCCGAAGGGTGTAAATCTTCCTCTTCAGAAATATTTTGTTGTGAAGCGACTTGGACGAGTATAGTTTTATGAGGTGATCCCATATCTCCTTGGATGTTTTCTTTTCCTCTATCCTGGATAATATATCATCCGAAAGAGACAGGTGCAAATCAGAAACGGCCAGATCATCAATTTTCTTCCACTTGTCATCTGTGATTTTTGGTGGCCGAGCACTGATGGCCTCCACACATCTGTCTTTGTTCAAAAGTGCCTTCATCTTCAATTTCCACAACGTGAACTTTGTCCCGTCAAATTTGCCAATATCAACCTTTGTTGTCATGGTTCTATCACGAACTACTTTTTCTGCAAAATAGCTCCCAGTGCTTCACTTTGGTCTCCTTCAACCAGTATTTTGGATAGTTTCCAGGAAAGATTGGAGGGGTCACTAGTGGTCCCACTTAATATCCAATCTCCTTAGACTGTTTCATCTTTGTGACAAAATTTTCCACACGCACCTAATCACCCAAAATACCTTTTCAGAGGAATGCTCCGATTGCGAACAGTAACTGTATACAATAATAGTCTCTATATAACACCTGCAACACCTCTATAAATTAATACTGATATCAACTCAACAGCTCCCCAAGGATAATTCTTTTTTGATGTGACAGATCAGTCTAAGCTGCAGTCACAGAGCATACTAAGAAAACCTCAGCTCTGATACCACTGTTAGGAAATAGGATTCCATCGGACAGAACAATAACAACAAATAAAGGAAATTGAAAGTAATAAATGGACAGAGATATTTTACGTGGGAAAACCCTCAAAGTAACTGAGGTAAAAAACCTACGGGCAAGAGTAGAAAAATTTCACTATGGGAACTCCAAAATTACAACCTCCCTTTTATCCCAAGGAGAGAACAATTTTTATTTCTCTTTTGAACTAGGAATACTCCTCACAAAATATACTCAATATAATATTATAACTGTTATGGATCCGTATAATGGGCCCATTAAGTAGAAGACCCAACAAGGGGCAATCCAAGATATGGATTGATGCTAATAAAGGATAGATATCCATTAAGGATACTAATTCTAATACGCAGCATAGCTATCAGGACTGGACCCTCACCAGAGGAACCAAAGGACCATCCACACTACCTACAGGTAACCTCTATAAATACAAAGGTAAACCCTAAAGATACGTACGCTCTCTCTCTCTCTCTCTTACGGTTATGCTGTCACTGTGCGCACATACACCACATTGGCTAACACCGTTATAGTATTTTGTGCACAGTGATCTGCTTGACTCAAAGGTATCTCCTTCATAGATACCTTGGAGAGGGAACTAGATCCAATATCAACATACTAGCCTATTGGGCTAGACATCTCTGTCTCAAGGACAGAACATTGGCGCCGTCTGTGGGAAATTCATCTCTGAATTTGAAGTTCCCACCAATCTGATAAGGGATGGCAATCCAGACGAGGAGCAGTAGTCAGCAGCCACCCCCAAACCAGAATCAACCGTTGGATCCAGTCCCGGAGAAGGTAAACCAGCCTCAAAACCAGATCGGAGACAACGTGGATTACGATCACGTCCAGGTCGAGGACGACGTCTCAGACACCGCATCTACTCTAGCGCGTCGAGGTAGAGGGGTGGAGATGAACGTGGCTCCAATCAGAAACAACCCTTCCCAGCATCCAGGAGATCTTGCTGCGCGTATTGCCCAATCGGCTGATCCGGATACTCGGTTGGCCAATAATGCATTCGCCGCAATCATGGAACGAATTACAGAACTGGAGACCCGCAATAACTTGCAACGGCAGCAAGATTTCAGGGCTATACGGGAGGAGAATAACAGGGGGATGCAAAACCTGGAGCTGCACTTAACGCGGCTGGCTAGACCAGGAACAGCCGACGTGGAAGGCCAACCTGCCAATGGCCGAGAAGGAGCTCAGAACGTAATTCAGCCAAACCAGGTTCCTCATGCAGAAAATCATGAAAGACCCAACCCCGTGAATGCTGTGAACCAGAACCAGGGAAACCAGGCTGCTAATGACCAAAATGCTCAAAACCATCAGACGCAAGCTGACGGTCAGGAGGACCGAGTTAGAACTCATCATGCGCAGAATGCTCAAGATATCTGAGGTCGGGTAGAACCCGGCGGGTATAGGAGGAAGTACAGCAGGGGCAGTACAACAATAGCCCCTTTACTGGTGAAATACTAAACGCTGTCTTCCCGGAGGATTTTGATTCGGCATGTCTGCCAAAGTATGACAGGAGCCAGGATCCACAAGTGCATATAGATGCTTTCGACACGGATATGTACATTCGACGAATTGATGAACCTCTTATATCCCGAATATTTGCTATAACCCTAACTGGGGAAGCACAGGCATGGTTTTCAACCGTTCCTGCTAATTCCATCGGATCCTGCGAGGAATTCGGATAGAAGTTCCTCCTGAACTTTGCAACAAGTAAGAAGCATCTGAAGTCCGAGTTCGCTCTCAGAAAGATACGACAGCAACCCGGAGAAACCCTCCAGAAATACCTTAACCGGTTCAAGGACGCTGCATTGCAGGTCCCAGGGTTGCAAGAGAATGTCCATGTACAACTCATTGTGGCGAGTTTGGATGGTGCATCCAGGCTTGCCAAGTCGGTCTATAAGGACCCAGTGAGGACGCTGGAGGAATTCAGAACTCGTTCGAAGAAAGGATAAGCCCAAGAAGGAGGAGGCCAGCCCCAAAGGGAAAGAACAAATTGACAGTAAGAATAAAGATCTTCGCCCAAGAATCCCAGACATGAGGGATCGGGTTGGGAGATATGATAAATACACACCTCTTAATGCTTCGCGTTCTCAAATCTGGAGAGAAGTAGCCATGACGGAGATGAAGAAGGTGGACAGACCCCGGCCCATATTTGACACAGGAGGTTTGGATAAGTCCAAATATTGTGCTTTCCATGATGGACCGGGACATACAACTGACCAATGTTGGGATCTCCGAGATGCTGTGGAGAAATTTGTAAGAGATGGACGGTTTCGTCAATACGTGATGAAAACCCAAGGGTCCAAAATCAACAAAAGAAAGGCGGGAAATAGAAAGAGAAGTAGAAGCCCGGTTCCTAAAAAGAAGAATAAGGATGAACGAGATCGCAAAGGTGATCCCAACTTTGACGAGTTCCCAGAAGCGGAATTTGATTGCAATGTAATCAGTGGAGCCCTTGGAGGAGGTGGAGACACCATAAGTGCAAGACGAAAGTACTTGAAGGAGGTCCTTTCAATTCGGGATCGCCCCATATTCAAGGAGGATTCAAGCAAGCCAGATCCCCCTTTGCTTTATTTCACAAAGGAGGACATGCATGGCGTGTTACCCGGGCATGTTAACAGACTTGTTATAGCAGGTACTCTGGTAAACTGCCGGGTTAAGAAAATTTTTGTTGATGTAGGGAGTAGTGCCGACATCATCCTATGGGACGCTTTCAAAAAGATGAACCTTGATGAGGAGAACCTCAAACCTTGCAAAACTACTTTGATAGCCTTTAATGAGAAACATACGCCCCCTAAAGGCTATGTAGATCTCAGGTTGACCTTGGGAACCAAAGAAGCGTTCAAATCAGAACGGGTAAGGTTCATAGTGGCCGATTTCCCATCAGAATATAATATAATTCTTGGCAGGCCAACTATACACTAGTGGGACATGCTGGTTTCCACGAAACAGCAAAAGATAAAGATGCTAAGCAGTAAAGGCGAAATAATTACTGTTTGTGGAGATCAAAAAGTGTCTAGGGGATGCTACTTCGACACTGTCAAGGAAAATGAGGATGGGCATACAGGTCCATCTTGAGTTCATGCAAGGGACAAGCAAGGAAAGAACATAATCCAGCACCATCCCAACAAGCCCGTCAGTGTAGTGGAACTCGATATGAGAGAAGAAGTAGTGTCGAGGCTAGAACCAGACGGCGAGCTAGAAAACCTAGCACTCAGGCAAGACCCTGACCAGTTTACCCGGATTGGTAAGGCCATAGACCCCCAAAGTAAGCAAATATTGGCCGACTTTCTTCAAAGCAACACATATGTATTTGCATGGAAGTCGTCAAAGATCCCTGGCATCGACCCTGCCTTTTGCTGTCACAAATTGGCAGCTTATCCAGGATCCACGCCAGTTTTCCAGAAGAAAAGGAAACTGGGACCAGAAAGAAAGCAAGTTCTACAAGAGCACGTCAAAGAGCTCTTGGATGCCGGGTTTATTTGTGAGATACAGTATACAACGTGGCTTGCCAATATGGTGATGGTGAAAAAGCTAAATGGGAAATGGAGAATCTGTACTGATTACACAGACTTAAACAAGGCCTGCCTAAAGGATGCTTATCCTATGCCTAACATAAACCAGCTAGTAGATAACTCGACTGGATTTCGTCTGTTGTCCTTTATGGATGCTTATTCGGGATACAACCAGATCCCAATGTACCCGGCGGATCAAGAAAAAACGGCCTTCAATGCTGAAAAGGCCAACTATTGCTACAATGTGATGCCATTTGGACTCAAAAATTCAGGGGCAACCTATCAGCGGATGATGAATAAAGTCTTCGAAGATCAGCTGGACAAAGACATAGAAGTATACATTGACGATATGATCGTAAAGTCATTTGATATGATGAATCATGTCCAGGATCTCGAACAAACATTTTAAAAGCTCAGGAAGTACCACATCCGCCTCAACCCGGTAAAGTGCGTGTTTGGGGTTGCAAGAGGGAAATTTTTGGGATTCATGCTAACCCATAGAGGAATAGAAGCGAACCCTGACAAATACAAGGCAGTACTTGATATGAAAGCACCCCAAAGAAAAAAGGAAGTCCAACAGCTAACCGGTCGATTAGCTGCGTTAACCAGGTTTCTTCCGAAGTCTGCTGAAAATGCCCTCCCGTTATTTAAACTTTTAAAGAAGGAAGCAACTGACGGATGGAACCCGGCGTGTGAAGCCGCGTTTGAGAAAGTCAAGAAATGTTTAGTAACTCCACCAATCCTCTCGAAGCCAAACCCAGGAGATATTCTGATCCTGTATATGGAAGTAGGGGAAGAAGCGATAAGTGCTGTACTGATCAAGGAAACTAACGACGGCCAAGAGCCGATTTACTTTGTCAGTAGAGCTTTACAAGGCGCAGAAGTCAGATATCAAAAGCTAGAGAAAATGGATTTTGCTTTGCTGGTCACGGCCAGAAGATTGTGGCCATACTTTCAGGGTCATCAAATAGTCGTCAGGACTAATCAGCCTATCCGGCAGGTGTTGCACAAGCTAGACCTGGCGGGAAGAATGACTAACTAGGCAATTGAGCTCAGCGAATACGACATAGCTTATGAAAGACGGAAAGCAATCAAGTCACAAGCTCTGGCCGACTTCATAATGGAATTAACGTCGATAAATTCGGAAAATGAGGAATCCGGCAGTGCATGGAAGGTCTACGTAGATGGATCCTCCAACAA